CGACAATCTTCTCTAGCTCGGACATTCCTGGTCCACAAATTCTCTGATAGATCACGATCAGTGGGAGTCTGTCAGGCGAGACAACATGCGGATAGTCAAGAAGCTGGAGGACAGCGCACATGCCAGATTTCCATCGCTTTGGACCCCTGGGAGTGTCTGGGTGTGCTTGCTCTGCGTCGACTGGGACGGCAAGGGAGAAGACGTACTGTCGCATGTTTCATTCAAGTATGTTGTCGCTGTCTACAAGGAGCACTGCTCAATATGCTGAACACCTCTTGCCTAGACATAACATCCTTGGTCTTGGGACGGTCTATATGCACCTCAGAAAGAGTGTGGCAGTCGTCCGGCCACCTGTTACTCTTCCGTACTAAGTGAGAGCGGATTTTGGACCCATCTCATTGTACAACCATTCTGGCTCAAACAATGCACCTTCTTCAACATCAGGAGGATAGTGCCAAGTATTGTCCCAGTCAGTGTTGTTCAAGGAGGAGAAAGGAGCATAGCGACTACAGGTGTCTCTGCATTGCTAGAATCCGAATTGACTGGCAAAGTCGCCGCGATCAGTGTGCAGGCGAATTTGCTCTGAGATTTCCAAAGATTTCCAACGGAGCAGCGAAGGCCGTTATCGAATAGTGCTATCTGAGTACAAAGCCGCACCCCACCCTTGCGCTTCCCCGGACATATGGGTAAGAACCAGCTACCCTGTATACTGTGATAGCTGTGGCTGGGCGGCCGAATGCTATACCCCCCTCCTGGGTCGCGTTGTGGACACTCTCAGAAGTGTCTGTTTCTGACAAGGGACGAGGGGTTGATAGAGGGTGGTGGTAAGCAGTCGAGGTGTGCAACTTGGGGGTGTCTACCTTGACTGAATAGAGTCCAGGAGGCTTGCATGACAAGATCAATAAAGTGGGATGTGTATGGGCACAGTTGAAGTACTTCATTCGACGGGCAAGCCATGGACGGTGCATCGAGACATCGAACTGCTGATGCTCGGTGATTGGGTCAATAACATTGATTTCATGCCATGCAATCGACAACGAGAAACCAATCACGACAGTTCACAATATGACAGATGCAAACAAATGACCACTTCCTTCTACATTCAGTTCTAACTCTCGCTAGTGAGTATGAGCTAGTCAGCTAGAGTGGCTTCATCTGCAGCAAATGTTCGAACCGATGGACATACTTATGCTGAGTGCACAGAGGCAGGAGAAAGAGAGACCTTGACGAGCAGTACACAAGTCCAGAAAGTCCACAGAGGATGAGAACAGAGCAACAGAAGAGCAGCAAAAGAAGGTGATAGTAATACACATTGAGTCGTGATCTTGCTGCGTGGTAATGATACAGAGAGGAGTCCATGCGGAGAACATTGTAGAGGGCAATGGATGTACGTCGTGGCGGACCTCGGAGGCGAAGTGAAGTGGGAGTGTATAGAGACAAAACACCACGCGCTTAGAGCGAATCTACGGTCACACGTCAGAAAAACTCCATACAAGTTCACGGAACAAGGTGCATACCATAGAGCTATTGAAGTGTCCACCTGCCATCAAAGCGAGGCGAAAAACTTCATAAGCTGGGGCGGCGCCATCCCACTCCGTGGAGTGTATCCTGAGCAATACACGATCGTGCATTGCACACCAGACCAAGGGACCGGAACAGGCCACCATGTCCACGTCTCCTTTGACCCCATCTTGACGAGGTGGAGTTCGCCTGGAAGCGCGACCGCTTTGTCATTCTTTGAAGGTCGCAGGACAATGCCGCAGTTCAGGCAGCCCATGAAGAAGCTCATGTAGTCATTTAGAGTGTCCCTGGTCAAAGTTTTCGAGAGTGTATCTGGATCCTTGGGGAGGAAGACTGGCAGTGGCTAGAAAGTCCTGTGCAATCCCAATCCGGTAGACAACGACGGACAAACTGCCATACACAGGTCCAAAATGTTGGATATATGTGTCGTTCACGAACTTGCTCTGCAGCACCTGGGCATTCCACACGCTAGCGAACTCCGGAGAGGCGGGCTTGTCCTGGGCTGATCGCACTAGAGGGTAGTACAGGAACCAAGAGTGAGCCGGACCTGGGGATTGGGCTTTCAGCATCTTGATCGGGGTGAGTTCCAGGCAGATGAGCAGTTCTCCGCATCGAAGGAGCTCGGCATGGCTGGGGGTCATCTCGACAAGTAGTGTGGCAAGCGCGATGTGTTTGAGCATCTCCCGATGGTAGGACACATACTTGTGGAAGTCTGCGACAACGGAGGCATGGAAAGAGAAGTCTTCAATCCGACTCATACAGCCGGTCGGCAGGTTGTTCATGTGCGACTGCACCCACTCCATGACCGAGTCTGACTTCATGCCACAGTCTAGTGTGCAGCACCACATCCTATCCCAATCCCGCCCTAGTAGGTGTCATAGAACATCATTAGAGAGCAGCAAGATTTACTTGTGCATCAGCCAAGCCTTCCTCTGACACTCCTTGCTGCAATACATGGCAACAGAGCAGCCGGAACACTTCCGGAGTCTTTCGTGCTTGCTGCCTTTTGCACTGCATGTGTCGCACTGTGTTGCATCGCCTAGAGGACGGAAGTCATCCAAGGGGTCATTCAAAGGGTCGCAGAGCAATTAGTGGTATGATGCGACAACACAAGTGGCTTCGAGGATGTGGAAGAGGACAAGAGGCGAGATGCATGGCACTAGCCCTCATCTGATCTAGTCGACCCAAGGCAAACCGGACCGGTTTAGAGTGGTTCGACCGCAGACGGCAAGTCCATCAGAGTCCTTCACCTCTGCCCTGCATTTCACTAATAGTAGTAGCCTCTTACCACGCCTGCTGGGCTGTCACTGGTCTGCCATTCAGTCATATCGCATCAATTTGATACAGTAGAAGTTCGTGCACTATGCTCATGAGGGCGACCTCTGTTGCAGTAGCAGCCCGGCGGTATGGCACCTTGAAGTTCAGGACTCCTCCCCACTGCCATTTGTGATGTATACATCTCATCAATGTGAAGGTAGGTATGAATGGCTGTAAAACACCACTTGTACTGCAGCAATGCTCAATGATATATATGCTGGCCAAGAATGAGATCTATAAAGATGGTGAGTCGCACACCTATTCTTGACAGGAATACCCTGACAGACTTCCTCCTGCTAGATCCCAGTCACGAACCCATGTCAGGTATGTGTGCGCTACTCATCAGCTTACGAGGTTGATGATGTACCTGTGCCCAAAGCCCCAGCCAATCAACACATGGGACGGTTTCCTCCCCCAGGTCGATATCCTCAATGTGTATACATGGGGAAGTTGTCCCCGTGTCTGCAAGTCCAGATGGGTATGGAAAGCCGAGAAAAGAGGCTCCGTGGGCGGCGATGGCGTAGCGGTACCATCGACCAGTTGACACAACCCTGGGCACCATGTGCAGAACCCAGGGTTCCATCCCCGCCCGGGACTTAGTTGTCCCATTATTGCTAGGGGGTTTTAGTGGGTATTTCCAGTCGGATCATGCCAGACGAGTCCCACACTACTTCCAGAGCACAGCTGCACCCGAAGGCTCTGGAAGTGTGCATAAACACATTTTCTCCTTCTGGTGGTGCTCGAATTTGCGGGGTTTAAACCCCCCGCAAACATGGTAATATCGGGGGTTACAATACCAGCTGGAATTACCATTAGCGCGCCTGATTTGCACTCACGGTCACGAGTCTAGACAACAAGCCCCTCTGGGGACCAATCTACTCAATGGCATATGCGCTCCACCAAAAAAAAAACAAAAGAGGCTCCGTTACATCACGGTACGTCTTGCCCAGCTACTAGCGATGAGTTTCAATGTTTCACATACAGCTCTAACATCTGCACACAGAGCATCATTCGGCAAATGTGCCGCAAACATGGTGTAGATCTCTACATCTGCTATAACGACCACAACATCAATCACTTGCACACAATCAGGGATGAGGTATGGTTGACCTACTTATCATCGTTCGTAATATGAGATACCGACTGCTTACTCGCGTAGGTTGTCAAAATGATACCCAAACTCAAGGTGTACCAGGATGGTTGGCCGGTGCTCTTCTATCTCAAGGTCACCATGCACGACCACAGCAGTTTCGCTCCATGTAACTGTGTTAAATGGAAGGAACCTGTGGCTGATGAGGTATGCAATTCTCTTCACATAGTGCGGCACTGTTTCCTTGAGGCTCATGTCTGTCGTTACAGAACTGTTCAAGGTTGCTCGTGCAGAAACATCAGAAGACATTCAAACAGCCAGGTACTCCTGGCATCACCCCGGGACCCCTTCTAGTCGCAGGTCATGGTGTCCCTCTCAAAAGATCCACTGGAATATTGCAGATGCAACAGGCTCCACACCATGACGCAACACACGGAGCAAGCCACGAGGGTGATGTGATCATTATCAGTGACAGCGAAGACTCAGTCACAAAGGTGAGTACGCCTTCCGTATATCTTGACGAGTTGCTGAACAGTACCTCCCCTTTACCAGAACACGAGCCCTACCACCACAGCCTCTTTTTTGTCATTGCGCTCCTCTTCTCAGGCCACCCTCTGTGGCTCCGGACCAACCTCCTCTGTGTCTTCGTCTTTGCACCACGTGACCCAGTCACTTCGCTCAATCTTGGACATGCTCGTCTCCGGTGGTATCCCTAGCGCAGATGCACACATTCTTGCCAGGCTGCTTGCATCATTCAGGATTGCCACCGGCGAGTATCTGCGGGCCCTGGCTCAGATGCAGTCACATGATGTCTGGTTGCTCGAGCTACGAGCACAGAAGAAAGTCAGCGAGATCCAGATGAGGATTCTACATGACATTCTCAATGGCCTCGCTGCATCAGAGGAGTAAAGGTGAAAGATCATCGTCAATGTGGTCAGGTTGCATTCTGTAGACCCATGTCTCTGTTTGAGCCTGTGCAGCTCATGTACTCTCCGCTCGCTTCATCTTCATGTTGTAATTCACTCCTACCTGAATGCTAGCAGAAACAGAAGTGGGAATCGCCCAAAATGAAGGGCCTGGCCGGGAATTGAACCCGGGACCTCCTCCAAGCGGTCAAGCACCAGGTAGAACACCCAGAACAACCCTAAGAAGAAATCATACTACTAGACCACCAGGCCATATCTTGTGGTGTCACGCTAAAATATAGATTCACGGAGACTGACTCAACATCCCGTGCCCCCTGGAGTCCCGCCGCTCACTTCAGTTGTTGTTGAGTCATACCCTATGTAAGTACTGCAAGCCTACTCATACATCGCACTTCACTCTATCCAGCCCTTCTCGCAGCAGTCTCATCTGAGTTGGTGTAAGTTCTCCACCAGTCACCAGCTCCTGAAGCCATTCATCACGTGTTTCCATCATCGCAAAGAGCTCCAGGTAGTCTTGCATCTGTATCCCCATCACATCAAAGAGCGCTGCAATCAGGATATCGTCGGGTCCTGGTCACCACAAGCTTGCCAAGAAACCGTGAATGATGGTACGACTGTGCGCTTTCTGACCCACTGGCAGCGGGTTGTAGTACTCGACCTCGGGGGATGCATCCCTCATTGAGCGAGGTGCAGAAGACAAGGACGTGAGACTGCTCGCAGATATAAGAGGTGTATTCTCTGTCACGTTTTGCTCCTGCCGAGCCTCGTCAGGATATGGACTGTTGATAGCAATAATGTCCACTACATACCTACGAGTGACCTCTTACTGCCTTGCACCTGGCCCCAACTAGTGTCCTTGGTTGCATGTCTCGTCATGAAGGCCGCGGAGTCACAGCTCGGACCTGGAGGTGCGGACTTGCCTGCGGATGCAAGCTGCGATATTGCAGCTGGTCTTTCCTTTGACTTCAGGGCCAGAAAGAGGAGGTCAGTATGCAAAGACTTTCCGTATCGAACGGGGTCGACTTACTGTTGAGCCTGTTGACTTGCTCGCCAGCCGTTTCTTGGGATTCTGGCCCTTCTTCACATGAAGGTTCTTAAAGGTAGATCTGAATGTACCTCGAGACAGGCCACCCATCCTCATACCGAGCAAGCACAGCGCACTCTTTCGCAACCTATAATGGAGTGTCAGGACTCAGTACTAGACAAAGAGCGACGACGACCGACCAAGTCTTTGACAGTCTGCAGTACTTCTGGCTGCTATTAGCGATAGGTCAATGGTCGCAAATCAAAGTGTTGCATAGCAGCCTCCCTTGTTGCAGCCTGCGTATGGACAGCATTGAGTGTCATTCCGTACAAGTAACAGCCAGGAGAAGCTTACCGTCATTGCATCCAGTTGACTGCAATCGTCTTGGAGACCCATCTGTGACTGTAGCGACAGCTTTCCGGCCTTGTTGGTGTACAAAAGTTTGGCCTCCACTTTGGGAGCTGTGATGCGCCTTTGTGATCCTAGAGAGTATCTGTCAGTATCCCACACGGGCACGAAGGATGACGAGCTGACCATGATTGTCAGATGGCATTCTAACGGAAGGCCCGAGCTTAGCTTGGCCACCAAGGACAAGTGAGGCTCTGGTTGAGAGGGTGGTCGACCGTTAAAGCAAGGGGCCACAGTGAACAACCCTGACCATTTCAGGGTCGTGGTTTAACACTGACGGCACATACCTGCATTGACATACTCCTTCCGCACGACAGAAATGGAAGACATATGCGAGTCAGCTCAGTACTGCACGACGAGCACTACCACAACATCGTCATATGCCCACCACTCTGAAGGTACCTCTGTGTAAGCTGAAAAAGTACATACATACACGCATGCGGTATAGCTCATCCAGTGCCACTGCCTCTCCTACCGCGGCTCATTGATACCTTTATATGCCGCCGCTTTCACCCAGCAGTCGGCGTAGAGACTAAGTATAGGAGACCAGGGGTTTTGCTCTTCAATTCTCTTCAGCAAGTTCACAGCCTAACGAAGTCAGAGGTACAGATTTGTGGTCGAGGGTCCCGCAGGCGCTGCCTCCATCGTTGCAAATACTGGAGGAGGCAAGCTGGGACATTATCCCTGTCAGTTTCCTTGGATGAGGACCCAGAGCCGCTGTGGCTTTCCGAGATTCAACATCTTGGAGCTAGCTATGGCCGTCCACGGGAGCTGGAGCAGATTCGCAAATTGACGGTGTTGGATAGGTCACAGCCGTGTTCTACAAGAAGATACCTTTGAGGTATTGGCCACATGCACATAGGCTGTATGAGACGTCCAAAGGGTGTGATGCGCCAGCCATCGCGCGTGGACACAATCTTTGGACTACAGTTATATCTCTACTAAGGAATAGCCTCGGGAGACGACCTAGGCCTATTCCTCACCGGGGATATTCCAGATGAGAGATAGACCAAATATAGTAATATTTTCCCATCACCAAGCTGTACAAGCACGCATCATGGGCGCTTTGTGAAGTACGTGTCCAATGTTGCCTGCTTCTTAGATGCATCGACCTCTTTTGCTACGCCCGTCCGGAAACGACGCACACTGCTGACGAGGTCGAGGTCAGCACCAAAAGCAAGAGCTATGTCCTCGAACTTCCTGCAGAGCTCCACCAAGTCCTCCGGTGTTGCGGCAGGAACAGCAATCTCCTCCTCCGGCTCCTCTTCCTCGGCCTCCTGCATCAGCGGCTCTCCCTGGGTCACACGAGCAACAATCTCGGCCTCAATCTCAGCTTCTGTCCGCGCTGTGATTGGGCTGAACTCCTCACCAATCTCGCGCTCCTCTGGAAGATCCAGAAGCTCGTACACTGCAGGGTGGTCACCATGGAGCCGCTTCCGCTTCCGCAACTCTGATAAAGCATCCGAGAGTCCCGCTTCAGCTGCAGTGAGCTCGACAGGTCGCCGTGCTGGTGGTTCCTGTCCTGCAGCGAGGGCGTCCACAGCTAATCTCGCCCACCGTGAGTCTTCTTCCCCGTCTTCCTCTGCTGACATGACCGCATCAAATGCCGGACGCCAGTCGGAATCAACGTAGCGGCCACCTAGAAGCTGCTTCACTGCATCTTCTGCTTGCGGAAGTGTGAAGTCGTGCTCTGAAGCGAAGCGGCGGAGGATGTCCCAGGCCTTCTGGGTTGCGGCATCGTGCGGGCCATCAGGCCGGGCTGGCTGGACTGGAACATCGGTGGACGCAGAGCGCGGGAGGATTCCTGCATGTCTCCAGCAGTGCGCAATCATCTCCGGAGTTACAGCATCCCATGCCTTCACAGCCATGCGGATGGCTTCGAGGATCGAGATTTTGAATATGTCGTCCTCATCCGCCTCATCCATGTCCACGGCCCGCATGCAGAACAAGTGGCGATAGTGTGCCTTGAAGCAGCGAATGATGCCTTGATCGAGAGGCTGTATGTAGGAAGTCATGTTGGGCTCGAAGGGTTCGAGGCGGATGTTCTGGGGAACGTAGGATATGTTATGGCCAGAGAAGTTGTCCAAACTGAGCAGGATCGATCGGTTCTGGCGACGCATGTCGAGATCTAGGGTCTTGACCCAGCCTCCGAAGAGTTCCGAAGTCATCCACGCCGTTTTATTGGCTGCGTAATCAATGTCAAGCTGACGGGGAGTCTTCTTCTGAAAGCACCGTGGGCTCTTATATTTTCCTGCAATTTCTGTGTTTAGCTCAGTTGAAGGGCAGAAGAGTGCCATCGAACACGTACCAATATAGAAGAGAGGTCGTTTCTCACTGCCATCTGAGTTGCAGGCAAAGAGAAGTGTGATACGGAACTTGTTCAACTTCTTTCCGCTCATCTGCTTTGAGGCGAGCCCTCGATCGGGGACCACGAAGACCAGAAGCGCAGCCTCGTCTGTATTCCATCGATCCCTCGGTGCGTAATCGGCCATGATGGCCCTCATACGGTCTCGCTCAATCTCCACTGCAGAGCGGTCAACCGATCCAGCTTCCCCGTGCTTCTTTATCTCCCTAATCCCATGCGCCTTCTTGAACTTGTCGACCCACCCCTGTCCTTTCAGCCGACGCTCCTCCGGAATGCCCAGCTGCTCCTCGAATCGCCGCCGCTTCTCCACCAACATCCCTCCTGTGTAGGTCTCCCCACGTGCCTCCATATTCTTTGTCCACATCTCCAGTGCCGTGTCCACCTCCGGAGCCGTGACCACCCGCCGCCGCTTCATGCTGACGGCATTAGCGCATCCATCCGACTGCTTCTCGAGCTCCCCACGCCGCTTCAGGTTTTTTGAGAGCGCACCTTGAGTGAAGACAAGCCGGCCCGTCTTCAGCGATCCAAAGTGTTTGACGACCTGGTTTTGAGTCATGTGGGGATGGTCATCAATGAATCTGAAGACATTGAGCCAATCCCCTAGTGTAAGACTTTGGCGGGTTGATGACGGAGTGTCCTGCGCAGCTGACAGATGCTGCGCTCGAGGCTTGGGACCCGGTTTGGCAGCATCAGATGGACGCGGCTGCGTTGGACGCACTTTCCGAGAGGCGACGTTAGACATGACTTCGAGTTGGAGCTCGAGATGTGGTGGAAAAGTTATGCCAGCGGTAGCACCGACCAAATCGGACAGCCCTGGTGAGGAATATTTTGGTGGGGGACACACATGGGAAGTCTATTACTTATGCGGGTATGCGGGAATAGGAATATGACCGCCTCCCATCCCGGGAGGCGAGGTAGCTCTATTCCCTAATGGAATTATTCCCTAGCGGCTAATTCCTTAGTAGAGATTCTACTGTAACAAGAGACATGTCTTGGACGTGTATGCCCTGAATACTGCGAGGGAGACGGCGACGCTTCATGGGAGGTTCATTCGTGGGTGCCTCAGTGGCATGCTTCATGTCGTCATTTTCTTTCTGGTTACTGCAAAAGCAAGGAAGAGTGCCTATGCAGATGCTCCGAATGGCACGTACACCCGAAGAACGACTTGTACCGTTCGCGATAGGCTCGTCTAGCCTCTCCAAGTAGCAAACTGGCACCTTTGCACGTGACACGGCTGAGAAGACTCACGCTTATGTACATCCTTAGTACGAGCGCGTTGAAGACAGTGCTGAGAGGACGTACATTGTGTCAGTTTCCCCGCCGTTGTCTCCAGTACTCTACAGCAAATGCTTCAGCACTTGCACAGTTGTCCTACAGCATCTAGCAGCCCTAAGCCCTTGATTGTCTTGACCATGTCAAAGGAAATGGCCGAGACAAGTCTTCCGCCGTGGTATG